TGATTTGTATTGACCTGAAGGGTGAGGATACAACAAACTGAATCAAATTTTAAAGTCACATATTCCTTTCAATAGCTCAACTTTTCTCCTTTGTAGAGCTATTTCTCCTTTCATACTTCAGCTTTTCTCCCTCAGAAAGCTGAGGTGACTAGATTAAACTACCACCCCACTTGCTGACAAATATCTTGAAAAATTCCAAACAGGAGCAAATTGCAGCAGAGAGATAATAAATGCTGAAGTCTGGAGATCTGTGTCTTTGCATCGCTGTTACTTAGTGATTATGCAAATGAGATCCATAATCCAAGGGAGGGAATTGCATTAGGATCATTAGTAAACTGAAGAATATTTATATACCTGGAACAAATTTTCTTTTACAATACATGGCTAATTACCTTGGCCTCCTCGTGCTGTGTGGCACTGGAGTGCAGCTGCTCACTGCCCTGTCCCCCAGCACTCCCTGGCCAGGAGGTGCTAACGAAGGGACCAAAGCTCTCACTCCTCCAATGGAACCTGAAGCTGTACATGGCAATTCTCAAACCTCTCCACTCGTGTCCTGCATTAGAACTCCCTGCCAGTGTCCAGGCCAGTGGAATCCCTTCCAAATTAAGGCCTCACACTCAGCTTTGGATGCAGCTTCCTAAGCTACAGACAGAATTATTTTGTCAAACAGATGCTAGCTAGTTTCAAAGGGCTTCACGAGTCAGGTTATACTTTTTTAATTAAATTCTTTTTACTTTATTCCTCAATACTCCAAGTGACCCAAGATTCCCTTATAGAAATAATCCCTGCTGTCACCCAAAGCCCAAGATTAGGATACACCTCCTATAATCACTCTGTTACTGCACTACAACAAAAGCTTATTTACAGCCAGAAGCGAAATAAGAACATTGGTACCTTGATTGCTAAGCTGAATTAGTTAATTTACCCTCTCCTTCACCCTCACAATTAATCTCCTCTAAAACTATTTGTTCTCTTGCTACTAGAACACTGTGATTTTGTGCCTAGAATAAACTGAACATTTTCCAGACTGCAGTTGTTGAGAAAGTGGTGCAAGGTGCAATGCACATACTTTTAAATTACCACAGGAAACACAGAACCTCATAGCTGGGGAGTTTGTCTGTCCTTCTGGGGGAAGAGGGGAGTGTTTCTTACCGGGACAGAGCCCCAGGAGAGCTGGGGGGGGTGGCAGGTCCCTCCTGGGACGGCGCGGTCCGACCTGAGCTCGAGCACCTTCCTCGGGGCCAGGAACCTACAACGATGGACATGGCACAGCTGAGGGGCTGCAGAGCTGGGGGAGCTGCTGTTTGCTTAGGAGACTGCCCTGAAGTGGTTTTGAGGGGTTAGCTTAGTGTAACTCTGTGGACAATGCCTGGCAGTAGTCATCTCAGTGAACACAGGGTCATTTTCAGAGGAAAAAGTCTGAATAAAATCCAATAATTCCCATGGAAAGAGATCCTAAAAATCCCTCTGAACAGTTAACAGTGAAATGGACCAAGCCCATGGAGTAAAGAAGCTGATTGCACTTTCAAAACACAACATTTCAGCCTGTGAAGATTTACTTGACTCCAGATTCAGCAGAAATGGAACCCAGAGCACTGTCCTGTGAAAAATCTCACACACCCATTAGCTGGTCCAAAAGTTCTCATTCAGCCTGTGAAGATTTACTTGACTCCAGATTCAGCAGAAATGGAACCCAGAGCATTGTCCTGTGAAAAAACTCACACATCTATTAGCTGGTCCAAAAGTTCTCCTGTCATTCTTTTAAGTATTAAATGGTTCTAAAAACATCAGCGGAAGTGTATTAACATGTTCTCCAATCAAACAGTTTGACTTTATTTTAACTTTTCTGCTAGAGTCCTTTAAAATGGTTCCTAGGTGATAGATCCACACTGAGGAAGGTTCTGCTGTTCTTCACCTAGGGAGCAACTGAGCATGCAGGGGCAGAGAGGCAGAGCACGACACAAAGGACCAGAGAGCTCCAGGAAGGAGCCTACAGCTCAGGCCAGAGACTGAGAACACACCACAGGGACAAAGCAATTCATGTACACCTTGTGAATAACACTCCTGAGAGCTGGAGACACCTGGAGTCAGAAAGCAATGGAGTAACTGAAGCAAAGCAAGGACCCAGGCCTGACCCAAATGCTTGGAGTTCTAATGAACACTGATTTTACTGCCTTAACATTCAGTAAAACTTGGTTTTTGAGACAGCAAAAACATCTGGCAGCTCATTGTAAGGAAAGGGCTAGGAAGACCTCAACAGTTTAGCCAACTTGGTGCCTCAGTAATACTGAAAAATTCTAGAGTTTCATAGATGCATAAAATCTTTAAGGTATGAAAAACCATTTTGTTGCAAGACAGAAAAAATAAAAGAAATAAAGAGAAAAAAAATCAAGCCAAAAGCTTTGAAGCAGCTCTTCACTTTGCATCGCAGCATCTGGTTGAAATCCATCACTCAAGATTGTCTGCAAACATAATCTACTCCAGCAGATCATGCAAAGAGGATTTAATTCTGCAGTTCTGGTGCTGGACATGCAGTTAGGACTAGACAGGAGACCCTCCTCATCCCTCAACTCCCTCAGCCAGCACTGCCAGACAGTGCACCAGCTTAGGGAACACAATGGGCAGGGAAAGGAAAAGCAGGTGCTGAAGTCAGAAGGCAAAGCCTAAGTCCAGTCAGCAGTGTTTGCAGCTGGAAAGGATTCAGCTATGTGAAATCTGCTTTACAACAAAAGCAAAGACAGGACACACAGTGAACTGCAACACTTGAGGAAAGCACAGGACAAGCACTGGAAACTTAGGAATCCCAAACATCTTTCTTCATGTAGCCAAGGCCTGGAAATCATCTCCCATGTCCTCTTGACTACTTGATCCAAGCAGGAAAGAAGGTCATTCATCACTTCAGCTGGAGGCTGTCTACCAGTTCACACTCCACTAGCAACCCAAACTGCAAAGAGATGCATCTCAAAAGAAAACTGCTGCTTCTCCAGACCATTTTAAACAGGAAGCTTCTTCATTGTACCTAATCACATAAGAAGTGAGAAAATAAAACACCTGTTTACAGTTCAAGCCAGAAAGTTTACAAAAAAAAAAATGGAAGCACATAACTGAATCAAGCAGAAGACTGGAGACAGAAATGTGTATCAGAACAGTTTTAAGCTCCAATTCTCCACTTAAAAACAAGCACATGGTTCTGTCTAGACATGCACTGAGTAGACTGAAGTGAAATCTGTTTTCAAGTATGAATTTAGAGGCAATACCCACACAACTATCCTTCACGTGCCAGAAAGCAAGATGAGAGAAATACTGAGCTGGAGAAAGCTCCTCTGCAGTACAACCAACAATCTTCTTCACACAGCATCAGTGACTCGCAGCAAACCAAGAGCACACGATGCACTTGGGAAGCAACACCACCAAGTCAGAGCACAAATATTGCATATAAAAATTTATTGTCTTTTTTTAAACACGGGCGTGAAACACACACAACCTAAACAGCTGATTTGTTTAAAGCTTTCCAGAAAATTTGTGATTGCACAGAATCAAAGGCTGTACCACGTTTTCCCCCATGTAGCAAACTGGATTCATAGCCATGTGTGCACAGCAGCAACAAAGTCATGTCTGCAGATCCTCTCAAAGTTCCATGTTTGGCAGCTTACTGAGAAGTGTCTTCAGCTTTCTCATTTTGCTGAGCTCATAGGAACAAGTTAAGAGTGCATTTATAGAATTCTCCAGTAAGTATAAAGAGTTTGAACATCCAGGCCTGGTTCTCATGTTTGCTCCACTTATGGAATAGATCTATGCAAAAATAGATGTATTTTTCTTCATTTAGGTCCTATCTATAGCTACTGTCTAGTACAAAATCGTATTGAAAAACCAGCAGTTCTTCTTTCCAAGTGAGGCAAGTTGGAAGAGCAAATTTTCAAGATTAAGTATTCACAAGGACATTGATTATTTGATTTGAGAGCCAGAGACTGACAGCAGAAGTTCTTAGTTCACTGACCACTGACCTCAGGTCTGTTTGCTCATACAGTCCTTGATTCAGCTCCCTGTGTATGTGCCTAGTGTTAAGAATGGAACTTGTCTCAAAGAGGTCTCTGGGATGATTCCCACCATCAAGACCCAGGCACACACTTGGTGTTTAAATGCCCCAAACTGAATCCTGACAGTCTGCAGGAAGAGAAGCCACAACAAAAATGTTGTAGTGGAAGTGACCTCTAACTCAGCCTGTTGACATTCTGCCTGTGCAGTAACTGCACCTGAACCGTGGAGAGCTAACTACCTGGGTTTAAGATTTCACCATATGATGCTAAACCAGCACATTGTTCCTCCTGGAGGAGCCTTGAAACTCCAGTGGTACAACCAAAGCCACACACAGGCACACGACAAGTGAAAAATATCCTCCACTTCTAAAGTGCAGATTTTCAACATTCCAAGGAAAGTGTTTCCAGACAATAGTCTAATTCTTCCATATATACTCATTCTTATGTTGCTCCAGTGCAGCATTTCTAATACTGAACAGACAGGGATGAAATTACAGCTGCTAAATGGTGTACACTTCTTTCTTACTTCAAGGAAAATGCTGCCTAAAATAGGAGTTTTTAATCAGGCTCAAGTGCTAACTGAAGTATTTCAGTTTGCAAAATGGTATCATTACTACAACCTGTCTGTATACCATAAACTTAAGAGTGCAAACAAGGTAGCTACTTAATTTTGGAATCCATTTCCCTGACATGAAAAAGGATAGACAGAATATAAAACATCAGAGCGGGAAAACACCGTATCGAAATCCGTAATTTTTGAACTGAAATGTGCATTTTACAACAACAAACTCCGTAGTTTCCAGAACAGGCACAGCTTCCAAAACTCAAGTGTCAGAGGCTATTAGCTCTGACAGACCTTAGATATTCCACCTTGACTTTCTCCCCAGTGTTTCCATGTTGCTTCGAATCAATTTTAAGGAGAAAATTGCACACCAAAGTCAAATCCGACAAATCCTGCGGCGATCAAGACAGAGCCTGTGGTTTCCTCGGCTGCAGCGACGCTTGTCTCACCAGTCTCTGCTGGGCCCGTGTTGCCTGGGCATCCTGGATGGCACTGCACAGCCACTGCAAGACAGAGAGAGAAAAAAGGGTTCAAAGCATGCAACCTGCACCTTTCTTCCATGAGATGTTAGTACATCACCGTGAACGCGACCAACACCCTGGAGAGTGAAGTTAGATACTTGATCTTCTGATACACATGCATAACATTCACCCCAGAAGAAGCTTCAGGGATGTTGTCAGTCTCGTCTGAATTTCCTAGTAACACCAGAGATGTTACTCACAGGTAACTAGGCACACCTTCCCCAGGCAGCACTCCCACCCTGATCCCACTGTGAACACACACAAACCACAGAAACCACCACAAACACCAGTGAAGGAATGTGTAGTTAGGGAATAACACCCAGAAAGGTAAGTAAACGTGAGCAAGGCCTGTGTGTTTTGGAGCATGCTGCAGCTTTGGCCATGTCACCACGACACAAACAAACTAAAAGGGCTTAAGTCAGTTAACTCAAAGACTGGTTTGGAAGACATGCTGTAAGAAAGAGTTGAAAGAACCAATACAGACTGTTTCAGTAGATACAGTGCCTCAAAATGATGCCAATCCTTTTTCCCTTCCCAGCCTAGCCCATTCCCTCAGAGGTATGTTGACTCCTAGAGACAACAGGGAATCCAGTACAGCCTAGTACTTTCGAGAGGGGAAATGTTTTCCTTTAATGAGCTTTAACATACAAAACCTAAGATTATGCAAGTTCAACTTCTATGCAATGGCATAAACTCTTTGTTTTTTGGAGTATCTTGCCCCATCATTCCCCTGTTTAAACCCGTTTTCCAACATGAATCTTTGGTACAGGATCCTTTGGCACAGCAGCCTGTTCTGTAAGTGGCCTCTGAACATTACCATCCCTTTTACATGCTGAGTTTCAACAACTGTGAACAATATCAGAAGGAAAGAAGATGAATGGGGGGGAAAAAATAGAGTATACCCTTGCTGTAGTTTCATCCTGAAGCTGAACTGTCTTTACACATCCATGACCTGTACTGTCCTTTCTTTGGAACATTCTTTGATCCTGCTGCAGAGGGGAACAAAAATGTGCTTCAGATGACTCACAAAACAAGAATGCAGAATCTGATACTGAAATGACTTCAATGTCAACTTCAGGTTAGTTTTCAACATGGTCTCTGTCCAACCCAACTCACACTTTTCAAGAAATTTTAAGTAAATCCTGTCACATGGTCCTTGAGTTAGCAGTTAGAACCATAAATAAGTCAAGAGCACGTTTGGATCTCTAACTAGTATTAAACAAAGTAAGTTGACATGCTTTCCTTACCAAAACAGTTATTTTTAAAGTGTTTCCTTCATAGGAGGGACAGCAGGTAAAGTCGTCAAATAAGTAATCCCACTCTGTTGTTAAATGGCCTAAAATTTCCACTTCTTTCACATATATCACTCTCCTGTTCAGAAAAAAAAAAAAAGAAGGTAATACTCAACTGGGACTAGAACTTTGCCAGAAAAACAGAACATAATCCTTTCCACGATCTCAACGTATCTAGAAAGTTTTGAGTACACAAACTGCACATCTAAGACTAGCAACATCTTGAATTCTAAAAGTTGTCTAATGAGGCAAATATTAATTTTCATGCTGCCACAAAAACTTAAGACTTCACTTTGAATATCCTGTAATTAGCAGGATTGTAATCATCAAAACTGTTGGCTTGGCTGCAAACACTTAGCTCGAGCTCATTTGAAAAGTTGAAAACAAAGAAGAAAAAAGAACATTTCCCTCCAATATGGTGAAAGGGTCACTGATCTCAGAGTAAACTGTCCTCCAAATGAGTATCCAGCACTGACATCATTATGAGATTACATTTTACAGAAAGGAAACAAAACTTAAAAAAAAAAAAAAATCAAGAAGAAAATAGACAAGGAGAGTTCATATGCAGAGAACAGCAGCACTTCAGACTTAGCCAGATGTCTAATCCCCAAGCTGGAATCCTGACAAGCCCTGAGAAAGCCTTCAAAACATTTTACCTGTTGGTAACAATAAGGTTTGCTCTTCTGCCTCTTGGAAGTGCACAGTGGTATCGATACCTCTCTTTTTCCAGCTTTCTGATGTGCAGTTTCTGAAACAGAAACAGAACATAATTTTGGGGCTGTACCAAGTTCAAGGTGGTGTCTTCAACTCAAAAGCCTTTAAAAAGTTACCTCATTGAACCAGCTCTTTAAAGGCAGCTCTGACAGGGCTCAGTCACTTAAGGTGTGACCTGTTCTCCTCACAAGGTGGAACACTGACACTGCAGTATCAGACTGTTTCTCCAGCTTTCTGTGCTAATGATTGTTTAGCAGAGTTCATCCTGCCACGCCACATGCTGCAGACCTGATTCAGCAGGGAAAATCCTGCAACAGTACCTTTAAAGGGAACCAGCATGTGACCCAGACCCTCAGGAAGAAATAGCTGAGGTACAAATACTCAGTGCACCTCAAGACCTTCTGAAGCATCGAACAGAGATGGCTATTCAACCCCCAAAATCCAAAGGTATAGCAAAATGCAGACTGAATTGCTCATCTCTTTAATTATTTCTTGCAAACATCCATGTCCTTCAATATTTCCATAGTGGGCCCACAGAACTGGCAAGATGACAAGAAAAGCTCCACTTGACTCCACATTTATCTGTCGGATCAACCATACAGGCTAAGAACTCTATGTAGTTTAAGGAACCAAAATTGGAAGTTCAGTTTACATAGGAAGCAATTAAATGAGGGTTCAACATTTATTTATATTTGCATTTTATTTTCATGTATTTAAAAGTTCAATAAAAGCCTCAAAGCAACATCATACATCAGAACCAACCCCCAAACTTGTATAAGCCCAAAAGTGGATGAATACTGGAGAGCTGAAATCAATAGCTTAACATTTTCCTGCACTTGCTCTCTAGTGATGTGATGTTTTGAAATACATTTTCATTCAACATTTTTCAGCAACCAAAACCACAGAGTCGACAACTTCTATAAAAAAATATCCCTTTCTAACCCTCTTGAAAATTTCTGACGCTGTACAACATACATAGAAGGACACAGAATGCCAGAAAGATTGGCTGTCAAAGTCTCTTCAAAACATTAGAACCAAGGTGGCAGGACTTGACTGAAATTGAAACCTGAACTCACATTCCATACCTGAACTGTAGCTCTCTCAAAACCAAGCGAAAGGCTCAGGAAGCAGCAGCCTCACCAGCAGGTGAAGGCAGCAGCTCAAAGGCTACAGCCACACTCTGGATCCTTTGGCTGGACATGAGGACATCAGATATGTCACACACTGAAACAGATTTATCATGCACATGTTTGGCTGCCCCAGCACAAAGCTCTGTGGAGAGACCTTGACTCTCCCAACGCCGAAACCATGACCTGCACACCCCTAAATTTCAGACATCTTTATCAAAAGCTGTTACTTTTCTGAGCATGCTAGGGCACTCTGAAGAAGTTCCCTCATTCTTATTTCACATGGAAATGAAAGAACCGGTGCAAATTTCCACAGCAGAGTCAGCCAGAAATAGAAGCTGCAGCTCCTCGCAGAGTATCTCTGCCACACAACAGCCTCACGGCCCTGCTCAATTATTCAGGAGGTGTTCTGCATTCTTTATAAAGCCTTAGCTGGGAAGTGAAACACAGGAATCCCACAGGCACTGAATAATGCATGACCTGCCTCAGCCAGACCTGAGGGGCTGGGGCAGCAGGACCTGCACACAGCCAGGAATGGCCAGCAGAGCACACCATCCCCTGTGCCAGCACAGCTCAGCAATGCAGACACTCCCTGGACAACCAGCAGGGCTCAGGACAGCCCAGTCCTTGGACAGCTCTTCTCCTGCAGCTGCTCCAGGTGTCCTTCGAGCTCTCCAGCTAACTGAGCACTTCGGTTTGACAGAACACTGTGCACTGCTCAGTCTCACTGCACAGGCTGAAGGCAGCAAATCTGACTTTCCAGGTCCTGGGCCGACTGAGCAGGGCCCTGTACAGCCCAGACACAGGATCCAGCACTGCTGGGAGAAGGAACTGCGTAAACCAGTTTACACAAGTCGATATATATCTATATACATGTGTAAATTCATGCTAACAGCTGAAAGGTTACATTTATTGGTGTTGAACAACAAAGCCCCAGGAGATTCTGTGAATGCAAACTAGAGCCCACTAAGCTGCCTACAGGTTGTAATTGAGGAACTCTCCTAAAGAAGCAGCAATAGGAACTCGAAGGGTGTAGAGCTGACAGGCCCATGGCACAGTACAGAGACCACAAACACAAGTCTGCTCAGCATTTTTATGGAAGCAGCATTTTAGATCATGAAATCATAAGCGTTTTCACAGGAGAAATTCCATTCAATTATCTCTAAATCTCGCTGAAAATGCTTCCCTCTGTGCACAGCCCTAGCTCTAAGGGAATGCTAATAAATAATGGACTCAGGATCTAACCTACCAGGATTATTCTCCAAGTGCCTCCTGTTGCCATTCATAAGGAGCTATAAAAACCAAGTACACTGGAAACAAACCCTCCCTGTCTCTCCCATCTCACTCACTCATCTAACCTTACTGTAGATGGTTATCCAAGTTTCTTTTCCTAGCCTGGACAACATGAAACACCATTTGATTCAACTGTTACACAGAGAAGATACAAATGAGGGAGAGAGGACATGTTAAATGAACTCATGCCCTTAACCTAAACACTTCAGGCAGATAACAGACTGTGACAGAAATAGAGAAGAAACATGGAAAATGTTTACTCCGTCAGTCCAGTTCTTGCTGCGTGTGCCAGGAGAGAAGGAGAAAGAAAAGAAACATTAGAAACAGAATCGGAAATAAGGATTAAAAGACAATCTAGAATGAAGTGGCAAATATGCAAGTTTTGGTCTTCAAACGTTAATGTAAACAGATACTTCACTCTAACCTTTTAGCAACAAAATAAGCATTTTAATGCCATTTTTAAGAACATCAAGTCTGAAATTCAAGTTATCCAGATCCTGCCTATGTAGGGATTGAAAACTAATGCTACTCATCCTCCATGTTAGCCACATTCATGCAGGAAAGCAGATTCAGTGTCCACACAGCCTGCAGCTGGGACAGACAGAAATACCAGAAGTGCTACTTTGATAACTCATGCAGCTTTTTAACTGCTGCTATGACCAAACAAGTCAAGCTCTACTGACATCTTTTAAAAGCTGCTTAGTTTGTAAACCAACCTCAGCCTTGTTATTAAGCAAAACATCAGAACCAAGTAGGGAAATGTTTTTGTTTCCCCACACTCCAATACCAACCCTACTGCCTCCTCCCTGAGTATGAGGCAAGTGATGGCAGAACACGACGTGCAGCAGGTCATGGAACAGCAATGCTGCAGGTTCCTCCTGGCACTCAGCTTACCACAAGCACTGGGCCGTGCTGCTCTCCAGGCTTGCCTCATGGAGCAGGCTGGGGCAAATTTCACTACACCTACTGACTGCCACAGATCCTGGGCAGCTGCTTTGCAACTTAATCCCTGCAGGTTAGAGAATTTGAACTGTGTTTACAATGAAGACTCACCTCAAACAAATCATAGCCCTCAGCCTCCACCCTGTTGTAGGGCCGGATGATGCCGTCCTCACGGATCAGACGTGGGGGACGCAGGTTAGACACCTCTTCAGTCGATTCTGCCACCCTGACAGAGAGTGCAACCACATTCCAGTCAGCTTACTGCAGTATACCTGGAAAAATCAGCCTTTCACTCACCACACATCCCACTTACACCTCCTGGGTACTCCACAGGTGCAAACAGCAAAGACACACTGCTAACAACAGATCAGGCAGCACCAGCCAACGAGACAGCTACAGAACGAGTTGGAGAAGTTTACTCCCAACTGCAGATAATCTACTAAGGGTTCCCAAGTGGATTGACACACTATCCAAAGGTCCCTTAAAACACAAGGAGCCCCTGACCTTTGCTGCTAAGCAAATTTGAAACTGGGAAGCTTTACCCTGAAAATGTCAGTGCTCTATTTTTCCACAGTGAGCTGAAATAACATTCAGGCATTTGCATTCAGCAATACACAAATCTACCTGAAAACAAGATCTTACAATTACCTTCTGAAGAGAGGAGTGAGTGAAAGGAGGAGATCGATTTGTTATTGTCTCCCTGAACTACAACACCACAAGATGTACCTGGAAGCAGCAACTTCCAGATCATCCCAAAGTTACAGGTTACCAGACACCCACAACCCACACATCACCTGCAGCTGCATTTAACACACAAGAACCTTCACTCCAAGACCAGTTTGAACTGGTATCCCACACAGAGAGCACTTCAGACCCCTCTGGGCACGGTACCTCTGGATGCCCTGGAAGGTACTGCTGGCCATGTCCACAATGCCTCCGGTCGGCCGGGCCACCACTCCCACGAGCCCCTTCCCAATCCCCTTGAAGAATCCAGCTGCACCTTCTTTCTTAGCCCCTTTGAAAGGAAGAGAACAGAAAACCAAATAATTTTAGTGACCTACTCGAAGACATTACCCACAGAATTAAACCATGACTGCTCCAGGCTGCACCGCAAGTGCTTTGCATTGGAAACAACCCACAGCCACCGAGGACATACATGGGCACAAAAAACTGCTTATGCCAAAGTCATACACTGCTTTTTGGCCTGTTTGGACACATTGCTCTTCACTCACTACCTCACCAGCCACCAAAACCAGCAGAGCTGAGCTGCTAACAGCATTCTCCTCCTCACACTGTCAGTCTGGACTGGAGGCCAATACAGCAGTTTTGACAGGTTGACAGTAGTAACAAAACAATCTGAAGACACTAAGATGCACAAATATAATGGAAGTAAACTATTTCTGACTGAAAATTACATGTTTCTGGCAATACCTCACTATGGGAAATGTTTGAGGAAATCACCATCTAGAATTCACACTTGAATTACAAACAAAACTCACCACACTTAGACTGATATTTCTTAAAACTACAAAATAAATTGCAATGTATTGAGACACCACTTAAGCAGTGCAGTGCAGCCCCAATGCTTACCTTCTACTGGTTTAGTGATTATGCCTGTCACACCTCCAACAACCCCCTGCAACAGAGAACAGAATTAAGTTCCCACTCAGAAACTGGAACACTCTGAGTCCAATTGGGCAACCAGTTGTCTAACACCCTTCGTTTTAAACTTTTGTAGTGCAAAGTCCAACACCAGAAATGCTGTTTGACTGGGGGGGGTTAGCTTTGTTTCTTTCTTTTACTTTTCATTTTCAAGGAAATGACAATTCAGGGATAATACAGATGGGGGACACCTTAAAATGGCTGAAGAAACATTTAAGTTGGCACAACTACCCAATCTGTTGTACAGTGCTCATCACAGCAATTAAGAACACCATTACTCACTTTCACTGCACACAGGAAGCTGCCACAATTCCCAGCCACGAGGAAGTGACACCAAATTAACACCAAATAACTCCCCAGAAACCTTTAAAGGCCAAGCAGTTTAACAACTAGTGTGAAAATTTACTGAGGTAACTTCCAAATTTTAGCAAACAGTATCAGAATCAACTCCACAATGTTACAGCTGATTAATTGCTTAGAAATCCATTCACTGCTTTTACTTTGAATGGAGAGTGATGGACTTAATTTGCATTCATACAGCACAGACCTCTCAGCCACTGTTCATGTGTGGTTTGTCTCAGAGGGAGAAACAGATATGATCTTTCAAACCGACAGTACTATGAACTGACTGCCCACTTGGCTCTTCTGTTTAGCTCATGAACTGACCAAGATCTCCACAAACTTGCTTGCATGTCATTTTCAAGCATGGATTACAAGTTGGCACATCATACACTCATCTTCATACCCGTAAGAAGCCTTTTCCCCCTTTGGCCAGGCTGGCACCAAAGTCCTTTGGCTGCCGACCCATCTCCTCTCTCCTTTTCTGCTGGAATTCTTCATCCAGAGTAATAGCAGCCAAGCCTTTCCCAACTGTGCCAGTGATCCTAGACACCACTCCTGCTGCACCACCTGAAGGAACAGGAAAGCAGAAGTTACTATTCCTTCACAGCTTCATTGCAGACACACAGAAAGCCAAAACGTTCATAGCCACTTCCCTTCATATTCAGCCTGGATGCAAAAACTTCCACAGAGCAAATGCCACACATTGTCCATGAGAAAGCTCCATAATTTGGTCTGATAGCCACATGTATAGCAAAGGGAACTCTACATCACCTCACTACATGCTGTGGAGCATAATAGATGAAATAATGTTTTCTGTAATTACTGTCAGACACTGCTAAAAAAAAATAAATCTAAGGTAATGGTAACAACAACTGGTCTTAACACTTCTCAGGCTTCTCCAGACATTTTAGCACCATTAGAATCCTGTCTCTAATTCATCCACAGCATGTTACTAACTCAGACATATATGCCATGTTTCTCAGTTTGGCTGCTCAGTCTGCAAACAGACACTCGGATGTCCTCAGGTAAATCAAGAGTGAATGATCTGTATCATAAATATTGGCAATAGCATGACAGACTTCGACAGTCACCAGAAAAACCAAAACAGCAACAATATGACACATACCCACTGTGTGTCCAAGCAGACTTCTCACACCAATTACAAAGCCTTCAGCAAATTCCTCAGGGCCTTGAACAGCACCCTAAAAATGAAGCTTATTAGTAACAGCAAAAACCTGCACACTGATGCATCTGTTCCTGTAACCAGCAACTCCTTTGCACTGACTGAAGCAAGCAATGCCATCTGAGCGTGTTATTCCTTCAGAATTAACATGGAAAATCACTGCTGTCTTACCTGCTCAGGGTGTGGAGTGCAGTGCCACCACCACCACAGCCATACCAGCACAGTCTGAATGCCAAGAGAGTAAGGGACAGGGCAGTCTTACCTGGAAGGGCTCGTAGAAGAAAGCTTCCACCCCCTCTGATAAGCCTCTGATTAATCCAAATGGATTTCCAAGAACATCTAATCCAAGTACAAGGACATACATCTGTTTCAGGAACTAAATAACGAGGGGGAGGAAAACAGGCAAAAATCAAAAGCAATGTTCCTGGCTGCTGTTACACACAGATCCATGTGAGAATGCAAGGCTGGTGCAATTTTTTACTTTGAGGGGTTTAGCTGAGTAATAACAATGTATAGATAAATGAGAGATAACTAACATGTAGAGATAACCGAGAAACTACTTTGGTGAAGAAAGGTAAAAATAAAAAGAACAGAAGGAATCACTTAAAATGTTTGTAAACACATTTTAAGTACACTTCCGTGTTTGCACTTTCATAATGTGCCACCAGATTCCTCCTGCAGCACCATCACATGGAAACTGAGGAGCTTTCAGAGGAATTCACTTTTTCTTCCCTATTTTCTACATTCCTTAAGATACATACTCAAAGCTCCTCACAAAGGCTTGACCAAATGAGCTTACCTGTTCACTGTAATGTCTAACAACTCTCTTCATCAGCTGATCTCTCTTGTAGAACTGATACTTAATTTCAAAGAAAGCAAGTCTGAAAGACAAGTAATCACATATTAGACAGCTTTCCTCCTTCAAATACTTCTCTTCTTCCCCCTCAGACAATCCTGAGGCACTGCTCTCTTACACACAGTCCCAAACCCCATCTTCCCTCCACCCCTTCCTGTTCACTAAGGCTGTATAACCTCAGACTAGTCAGTCACTCAGTCAAGTCTTCCGTGGACCCAATCAGTAACTGTATAGTAGCTTTAATCAAAGTATAAAACCCCAAAACTAAACAAAAAACCAAACCCACAACAAAACAAAACACAAAAGACCAATCCCTCCAACCAACTTTGTTCGCTTACTTGAAAATAAGATCATCCACATCTGTCAGAGTAGCTCCAATACTTTTCAACAGCAAATTCAGAGAGTGGATTGCTATCATTTCTTCCCCCTTAGCTGATGCTTCTCCACCAGAAGCCAGAGACAAACTCAAATGCAGCTGTCAAGACAGAAGTAGTAAAGCAAGAAAGTCAAGCCCAAAAAGGCCAAAGCACAGAGGCAGGTTGTGTGGTGCAGGTGGAGACAAAGCAGTGGGGAACAAGTGCCAAGTGTGGACTCACTTCAGAATGTGATTTGAACACACACACTGGTACTCACACTGCTATTCACTAGCAACATTTGGATGCATTTACATTTCCATACAGAGAAGTGTCTAACTGCCCCAGAAGTTTAACTCGCCTTGTGTTGACATCTGCAAACTTGTGTGCAAGCAATGACAGAAATCACATGTTGAATAGTTGGAGTTTAATTCCCAGTCCAAGCTCAAACCTAAATTCTGGTATTTTTACAACCAGCTGCTCTTTGAGGGAAACATGAACTTTTAGAGAACTGCCTTTAACACAGTAAAACTGCAATTTATTTTAGTGTTGATAAAGCATTTGTGTAAAAAAAAATATTATTATACCCATTGATTCGTTCCACTTAGTGGTGGTGAAGGGTCTGTTTGTACTCACGAGCAACACAGTTTTCCAGCAAAGTATTAAGTCACAGAGAACATAAACAGATCCCCAGCAGGGATGTATTCACTGTAAAGGATTAAGAGATGACTGGTATTACCTTAATGGGAGAGATGTGGAAATGTTCAAAGAAGCTGAGCACTGACACATCTGTGAGGGAAGACTCCATTAGCTCAGTGCTAAGTGCATCCACATCTTGCTGAATTAGTTTAGACTGGTTTTATCATTCAAAAAAAAAAAAAAAAAGGAAATTTCTCTCATCAGCATACATGGAATGAATCATATTATAGCTAAATGTAAGTTTCAAATATAGATATAAATAAACAGTAGCAATAATAAGCATAGTCAAATACAGTTAACTAAATACTTACATGTAACTGTACTAACCTATTTCTTGACTCCAGGGGGAAAAAAGAAAAAAAAAAAAAGAAGACAACAAAACCAAAATATCACACCACAGCAAAAGAAAACCACCCCCACACAACAGTTCAATGATCTCTGGGTGAGTCCTCCATTTTGTGCTGCACTGACATCCACCTAAATCCCCCAACCACTCAAGGTATCACTTGGAAAGATTCTTTGCCTTTGTTTTGTCTTTCCTCACTAAATCAGAATTTTCAAACAGTACCTCTGCAAACACAATCTTTAAGAACAAGACACATGTGAGAATGACCCTTCCATGCACAGCAGGACACAAGGTGACCTGAGGGCCCATGATACAAGATTCTATTTTGAACCATGAAAAATCTATTCCTTCTGCTCTCTGAAGACAAGGCAGTGCAGACTGACAGACAAATCCAAGTCCACTCTATGCCCTAACCTCACTCCACACACACCCCTAACACTGTGTAGGCACAACTGAAACAACTGTCATCTCATGATGAAGCAGTAAAAGAGCAGAAAACGGCCACATCTACCCCAGTTACTCAAAGCTCTCAGTCAGTAATGCCACAGCCAACATTCAACAGCAACACCAACACTTATTGAAAATTAGATGCTCTTTAGTCACTGCTGTCAAAGGCAACAGCCACTCATTTAAACTGAAACTGCAGCAAATTGCAACACTACTACCCTCAAGGGCCTGTTCCAGCAAAAATCAGCTTCTCTTAAACATTACCCGCTGTCTCTCAGCTTCTGGGTCTGTAGATGGAGTGAAAAGTTCACTGAGTGCTCCCAAAAATCCTTGATCAATTTTCAGGGCCATTTCCTGGATAAGAACCATGAAGTACCTAAAATGGGAAAACAAATAGTGTAAACTTGCAGAAGCTGAACTTAGGCATTCCATGCTCAGCCTGTGGAACTGAAGCTTTGCTCTGCAGAGCTGCATAGTAAGATGTACAATCTACAATATCAACTGTCCATTTACAGTCAGAAGAGCTTACCAACCTCACAAAGCTCTGCATTACTGTAGATGATTCAATCCTAACACTTTCGAAACGTACCCAAAAATATTAACCATCACCAGATACTTCCTACACTCACACACGGTGGGTCCATGTGCTTCATGGGTAACAACCCAAACACTGCATTTCTTCCTCTTGTGCAAGTGCCCCTCCAAGTCAGATTACATCCACACTAACTGGGTACAGACACTTGCATTAGAAACCATCACTATGATGTTTTTGTCTCATTTCTAGTGCAAAAACTCAAGACACAAACATATTAACTAGAGAACAAGTATTTCACACTGTACTGGGCCACACTAAAGATTGTGAGTCATTTGTCAGAGCACCAGATACCCCAAGCACTGCACAGCAAACCTGCAGGCAGAACCCTGACCCCGCGGTACAAGGAAATTGTTCTGGGTACTAAACAATTTCCCTAACAGTCCTTTCACATGGTCAGCCCTTATTTTCAGAAGTAAGTTTCTTTTAGAACAGTTTGTTCACTGGAGACATGTAAAAACTCAATCCAAATTCAACAGTTCCTGGGATAGGAGAATGCAAACTTCAGAATAAAGTTCCCTTCTAAAACACATCAAAACTCTAAAATCACATTACAACACTCTGTTTGACTCACTTGAACTGCAGCACTTTGCTGTACTCGTTGAATCGAGTGATGACACTGATGTCAATGAAAGGTTTTGGCTCTAAAGAGAAAAAAAAAAAGTAGAGGCTAAAAATAAATTGCCAAGTTCCTACTTTCAAGGCTGAAGAAATCTGACATCACCACAGGTTTTCTCTTACCTGAGTCCAACGCAATCGACTTGGGAGGGGCTACAGGGTGAAATACAACAGGAAACATCGATCCTGGTAACTGATTATCCACCTAGAACACGTTGGCATAATTACAGGAATGTTTTAGAGACATGACAGTCAAACACAATTCCCATTCTACAAGGCTTGAGAAATTTGTTTAGAGATCATGTTGGATTTATCACCGGATTTCTCCATTACTGTGGAATGTCAGCTCTTTAGCTATAAGAGGTCAGAGGGCTGGAAGTGTTGCCCCAGGGATGCTGACAGAGGTTCACACCCACAAAGACTCATTTACAGGGTCTGAGGCTGATGGCACACATTAACTGCAACACTGAAACCACCTTCAGGAAAAATATGAAAAACAAAGGAAAGAGGAAACTATCCCAACAGGTGGTCAGAAACAGCACCAGGGTCCTCAAAGAGTTCCTTCCCCTGGAGGACTGAGGGACAGCAAATGGAGATGAACATGATGCTGTCTCATCAGAACTTCCTTCTACCACTGAACACTTGTCACTAGTACCTGCTGAAGTGCTTTAGTAGATTTAGTGCTGACTGGAGCAGGTTGAGCAGGTGCAAATGCTGCACATTAGTTCACAGTTAATACTACACAGATATATTATTGCCTACTATTTCTGAAAGCCTATTCTCTACTTCCCCTTAGAGGCAGTTTTTGCTCCCAAGGTCTCTGAGCCTCTAGATCCATTCTAGAATAATGTTACACTGCTAGAGAAAACACTACGGTAAACGAGTTTTGAAAAAGGTTGAGGCTATTGTTTTAAAACATTTCTCTTTAGAAATAATCCCTACCATAGCACCTTGCTTTACATTAGCCCACATTAAATTTTGTGCCTATTTTTCCACACTGCTTGCAAAGCCCTGGGAAGGCAGTTGTGCAGTGCTTTGCCAGCATCAGGGCACCCACAGCACTGCTGAGCCCCTCACACCTCAGGCTGGGGACACTCCCTCCTGCCAGAGAGGAAAGCAAGAGCCTCAAGGGGTGTGCTGAGTGTGCTGGTACCTGCAGCCAGTAGAGCTGAGCCCGTAAGCTCCTCTGGTGAGGTGACTGCTTGAATTCCACCTGAATTCCCGACAGGAAGTTACGGCGGATGCTGCACCTGACCGGGAGACGCATCTCCATCGGGACCCTGCTGAAATTCACCTGGACAGGAAAGACAGCACAGCTAACACACAGCTTGACTTGGTAACTAATAAAACGTTATGCTACTTGTCAAGTCTAGTACACAAACCCTGTGCTGTCCCTCAGCACATGATCACACAGAATTATTCCACCTCATTATCGGCACGGAAAGTAATGAAACCTCTCGTCTGATAAGGAAGGACATCACATTTGCAGCTTTAGCTGCCCTGAGCAGAAACCTCTGTGTCATCCTAGCAACTTCTTCATGAGCTCCATAATACACTGGCACAGTACAGATACTTACATGCAGCTAACTGCTTTCCCAGCTGCTGCTCCTACCCTGATCCTGAAACATTTCGTTTCTGAGAAGCAGAGGGGAAAAAGATCACCTTTATTCAGAGCCAAATGCAATGACCTACAGATCCAAGTTTTTGACACTACATACCAGAACTGCACTATTGCAATGTACAAAACCTAAGCATTCCCAGAGTGAGGGTATATACACACTGAGAAAGGTACTACAGAATGCCTGCACTGAGCTCAGCCATTGCAAGGCATTAGGTTTATGCATGGAATACAGGGATGTATAATTAATGTCTGAAAAGCCCAGGGAGGCGAATCATTTCAAGCATCTCTGAACACTACAGGCTCCTCTATCATACCAAGTAACAGGAAATGCTGCTTACTAAGAAGCTAAACCCAAAATTTCTGCAAAAATCAGCACCAATGTAGGTTCATAACTAACATGTAGATGCCAAGGAATCTTCACTACCACACAAAAGCAAAGTTCTCTGGGACTCTCACTCAGAGATGACACCTCAATACTGCCTCAGTATCACCCCCACACAGAAATATTCCAATGTGCAACATGTGCAACCATTCAAATCAAGAGCTGCCTTTTGGTTCCATTTCTCTCCACACAGTCTCTATCCTTCCTCAGCAAAACAAAGTCTGTCTTAGCTGTGGGACATGATCTGCAAACATTTAAACACAGAAACTCAAAACACACCTCAGTGTTGCTGTCCAATTTATGCCAACCAGGCCCCTGGAAAGCACTCTTAGAGAGATACTTCTGATAGGCTTGTTCCAGTAGGTTTATTTGCTTTTGATTGAATGGTTTCCATTTATGCTTTGGTTTCCGTTCCCAAACAACACCAGAACTGCAAGACAAGTAACAAGGCTGAGAGTTTCAAAGTCCTTATAACCTTTCTTATGCATGCAAACCAAGTAAAGAGATGTTATTCCAACTTCTTAGGCGTAAAACACCATTTATTCTTTTTTTAATAGAAGCTAACAAAGGAGGCACTTCAAACCACAATAGGAGTAAAGGCAAAACTTTGTTTTCATTAAAAAGTTTCACTTAGCTGAATTTGAAATACGTTCTTCAACTCTACTACTCAAATTACTATACTCAAAGAACATTTAGGCTTCCACGGGCAGTACCTGGTGATTCCAATGTAGGAGATTTCTTTTCTGTTTTCGTTGTTGACTAGAGAAAGTCCAAGGCTGTGGATGGAGAGGTTTATCTCCTGCTCAGGCTGCTCCAGCTCCTCTGCCTGTCGGGCCTTAGACACCAGGGCGACGTCGTCGGTGAAGAGCAGCACGCGCTGCCGCCCGTCCAGGAACGACACCCAGTGCACCTGAGTGTGGGCATCGTACGGGAACTGCCCACAGTCATCCTGAGGGGAGGACAGCACAGAGTGACCCCACCACGCTCATGCACGGCCAGCAGCACCTACACACACCCCCCAGGACTCAGGGGGGTCCCTCCTTCGCTTGGTTTCCTGCATCACACTGACTTGGCTCCATCTGGGATCCTAACACTGAAAAGAAGCTGAATATTGGGGTATTTTCTCTCCTGCATCTGTATACTAAACATTCCAGCAGGATCTGTGGTTTAAATAGCACCAGAAACCATCAGGAAACAAAGGCCCACACAGCAAAGCGAAAGGCTTAGAACCTCAGGCAATGGGGGAAGAAGGTAATAAATCATATACCACAAAACATTAAACCAGGCAATGATTAGACCACTACTCTTCAATATTCCTTATTTTTAATTTGTGAGGCAAAACCTTTTCTCAAAATCCCCAAATAATCCTTAATGTAGCCATAATTTTACAGTAAGGAAATCAGTTTCAAACTAAAAACATGTTTAAACACAGAAAAACATGACCCAAGAAAGTGCTTATAAGTAAAGCACACTGTAACTGGTTACCTGAGTGCAGCTGGGCCAAGTTAAACCCATTCCCAGGATAACTGAAACACAGAATTGCTTTCCTGTCCCTACTTTTCACTACTGATGTCTTTCAGATTTCTTAACTCCATGCCTAGTTGACAGAAAACAGCAAAGCTGCTTTGAAGAACTCTGAATTTAGCACAAGGTGAAGCAGGCAGCTATTTAGAGACAGACACACAGGACTTTTTCTAGCCTGCCCTGCAGTTAAGTGAGAAAAACCTTCCTCCATGAACATTTGCTTCCCCACTCTCCAACAGAACACTTGCCCTGACTGGACTTACCTCTCTTCTAGCTGTACTGCCCCTCAGTGCCTCAGCCATTTCCCATCTTGGCCATTGCTGTTTTGCCCCCACTTCAGACACTTTGCTATTTTAGTACTGCCTAAGTTACAAACATGGAAATAGCTCTTGGTGAGCAACTCAGGATCTTCTGCTCAATACAAGCATTTCCCATGAGAAGTCAAAACAGTCAGGGGTTTTCTCCATCTTTAGGGAAATACTTAAGCCCAATGCAGCACTGCTGGGAAACTGGTGAATTAGTCACCTTGGGTACTATTTAGATATGTTCACAGCTGATTCTACTTCTTTCATGTCTATCCAGGAAAACCACAGAAGAAATTCAGGCTGCAGTTTGTGTCTGATCCCCTGGTTACATTAATCTAAACCAGTCTATTAATCTAGAATCTTGCTGCTAACAGTAGGTGCAAAAGTCTCTCACAGGACAAGACAGATGACAAGTAACTGAGGAAGATTTCCCCTGGAGAGTTTGAATCTTGTAATAATCCTGGACTGGCTCAGCATTTCTTTCTCCCCTTCTGAAACTTACCTTAAGCAGGTCATGTTCACCAAAATTTTGGGAGTAGCTCCAAGTCAATTTTCTTGGTTTGGTTGGATCTGTCCAGGCAAACAAGCACACCTGGCTTGGTTTCAACTCCATTTCCTCTTGCAATCCACTGCAGGTGAAAGAAAAGGAGCAAATTAACAGCATTCACTGGTTAAGAGCACTGATGGAGGTGGTGCAAGCCAAAGAGTGTTTTATACTCCACCCCCCTGGGCTGGGGCAGGAAGGGCCCAGGTTAGCCACTCCAGGCAAGTCCAGCTGCAGGTTCACCAGCTCTTGGTGAGCCAGGATTTATACTCCCACTTTATTCCCTCCACTTAAACTATGAAGACTGCTTAAAAGCAGACAAAGTACTTCATTAAAATAATAGGATAAAGAAAGGGAGTTTTAATCCATTCTTCAAGGTACCACAAGGGTAAAAGAGAACTACTTTCCTCCCAAGGGACCCCCCCAGACTCCACAATCAATGGTGAACAGCTTTTTCACATACCTCTGTTTGTACCTGAGCGAGTCCCATGAAGTGTGGTTAACTATCAGGGCTGGGGCAGCTCCCTCGTGGTAGTCGGAGAAGCTGATCATAGTGGAGTGCTCAGCCACACTCACATCCACCAGCAAGCCCCCGTTCTGCACAAGTGAGACAAAGTCCAGCACTGGTTCCACACACGAATTGAAGTCAGAACAGACTAAAGAGTCATTTCTGATCATTCTTTCACTGCCCTCTTACAAAAGAAACAGGAAATGTGCTCAATGTGCTCCAGTAACACCAAGCTCAACCACACTGGTCACTGACTTAAGGCACATATTAGTGCCACCCCAAACTATTTGTTAGCTTGATTGAGAAAACCATCAAATTGCAGATTTCAAATAATTACTTCATTTGGCTGAGCTCAGTAAAACCTACAGGCAAGCACTCCCTTCACTGGCTCACAAAATTTGGCTACATGTAAAACTGCAATTCCCTGCACACTCCTTAGAAACCTTTGTCCAGACAAACATACTCAAGTTTTTAAGGGTACAACAAATAAAGCAATAGTGTATTAACACACTGATCACTGAGCAGCAAAGTTCTGTTCATTGAACCTCTAAACAATTCACCATGAGTCCTTCTCCCAAAGGCTTTCAAGCTCCTCTTTCTCCCCATATACATGCAAGACATTTCTGAGACATGTACAGCAGCATTTTCCTACACAAAGGAAGTATGTCAGGCTTTCCCTTTTGGCCAGTCTCTTCAGACACCTTTAGCAAGATAAACTGACCTCTCTGCTATGCTGTCAGGTCTGGAGAGGAGGTGGGAGGGCACACATCTACCTTTGACAAAGATCATCTTACAGATTCTCCAGCTCACATGAGAGGGATGTGAGGAACTGTTTGCACTCTACCCAGCAGGGTGGGGCTACACAGGATTGCCATGCAAAGCTGAGCCATCCACTATTATAGCAGTGAAGAAAACTCTAGGTATTCTGAAGAAGAGCATCACCAGAACATCAGATCACTGATGACATCCTCTTCCAGAAACATCAGGAAAACAAAACATCTATTTTATTTTAGGCTAACTGTTCAAACAAACTGGAGACACCCAAGACAAACTCTGTGCACAAAAACCAGAAGTCAGAAGTTGGAAATGCCACTTCAATTTACTAGCAACAGAGCTGTTCACCTTCCTGTAGGCTTATCACAAGTAAATCAACTTGACTCCACAGCTACAAAACATTAACAAAACCGCAAACTTGGCTCACAACCTTTTCTATCATAGAACCATCAAGGCTGGAGGAGACCTCTAAGGTCATTGAGCCCAACCATTAACCTGTCACTGCTGGAACCCCTAAACCAGATCCTCCAGCACCAGATCCAGATGTGACTCAAACACCCCAGTGATGGTGACTCCACCACCTCCCTGGGCAATATCCCAGTGCCTCAACACACTGACAGGAAAACAAAACTGGAGAGCAGCACACCCACAGTTCTGATCTTGATGATCTTGGTGAGTCAGGCTACCACAGGACTAGAACGGAGTATTAAGAACAGAGCACACAAAGTCAGTCTCACCAATTCCTCCAGTCTCAGCAGAGTACCATTATCCTGGACTTTGAACAGGAAAGGTTTGGATGGTCTTTCATAGCCAACTACTCTCACGCAAAGTGCACCAGATGAGTTCTCCGGCCAAAATGGAAGACACTGTGAAGTGAGAAACAGGCATGACCAACAGTTTATCCATGTTCCATACAGTAACACAACAGAAAAACAGACAGGCTTGTGTGTCCCTTTCAAATGCCTCTGTTCTTACCCAAGCACCTGCTGCTGAACATTTCATCTGCACTAAGTAACTGAAGGACTTGATTAATTTACCAACATATGCAACCCATGCTGCTCAAGTCTCCCTGAGATGTGAAGCCCCCATTGTTATGCCATCAGAAGAGACAGCTTCCATAGGGAACTGCTCTGTCCTTCAGAGACAACCAGAAACCACCTACAATGACATCCAAAGAGAAAAACAGGAAACATTACCTCTGAAGCTGAGATATAATTCCATTTATTAGTTGGAAGGGAGCCATTAGGACCAATTTCTCCCACTTCAAGCTCCAGAGAAGATTTGTTTGCTATTGTGTAGAATGGAATGAAGGTAACTATCCTGGTAAGGTTAAAACTGCTCATTTTGATGCTAACTCCAACCTGGTGAACAAGGACAATTTGAACAATCAACAACAACAGAAAAGTCAGGAAGGGAAAAAAAGACAAGCCAACATCACTGTAACTACAAAGCCTTAAACAACACTCTTGCTCTGAACACCTGAAGTAGAAGAACCAAATGACATACAGTAAAATCAGCAAACTATGCAACACACCTAACACAACTGACAGTTTAGCTATAGCATTCTGTAGCTGCAGCATCTGTGGGGAAAAATCCAACCAGAATCCCTCTGGCATAACTCAGGACAACCTAAACTGACCATTCTCATCAGAACACAGTTACAGAGTAAATGGAAACACAACAACCCATATATCTGCATATATGAACTCCTCTCCCCTCTGCATGATCACCCCTGCATTTTCAAACAGTCCAGTACTACACCTTGGTTATACAAACCACATCTGTGAATGAAACTGAAACTTCTGCTGGTGAAACTACTTGTTGCCAGGTGCAGACCTGAGTAGCTGGGACATAAATGCTAGATCTTAGACATCTCCATGTTTTAGAAGTGATGTAAGTAGTGAAACAAAGGCCCTAAGGACAAACAGAAGACAAAAGAACCCTAAGAGAGCATCACAAAATGCAGAAAAGTATCTTACCAGATAGTCCATGTTATTAGCTGAACACCTGACACATCCATAGCTTCCTACAGTATCAAGGGAAAAGCCACTGGACCAAGTGCTCGTTGAAATACAGAGCTGGATCTGCACACAAGAAAACAACAGCATGAAGTATTTTAGTAAGTTCATTTTAATTCTATAGTTCATGCATTATGGAGTGCAAATATATCACACACAGCAGTATAAAGACAACATTTCAGTGCTTTTAAACCCTTCTATGAGTTAAGACAACCTAAGAATACAGTATCACTATTCATACTCTGATTTATTAGTCAGTGCCCAAGTTCTGGAACAGATGTTGCAGAAAGGGTAAGAAAACAGAGGAGTCCTCATTGACTCTTACACTCAGGGCAGCACGCACACATGGAAAAAAGCCTACAACTTTCTGGTACTCCTAAAACTTGAAGAGGCTGGAGAAAATAATCAAATGAACACTTCTATATCTCTATTCAATTTCTCTTCCCAAGGAAACAGTTTTGTGGCAGGGCACCCACTGAGCTTTCAGGCCCTCACCCAGCTGGTGGCCAGGGTGAGGGTTAGCCAGGGGGCACGGAGCAGCACGGACAAAACTTGCAGTGGGCTTTTTGTCCAGCTGCCTTCCCTTCTCCAGAGCCCAAAAGTGCACTCAGCAAACAGCAAAGAGCAGCCAAAAGAAAACCTACAGACCTAAAACCTACCTGAGAACATTCCTTAGCTAGAATATGTGTGCCGTCCCCGAGAGCAGGACTTTGCAAGCACCTAAACCAAACATACCTTGTTTTTGCTAAAAATATTCTTCTTTTTGAAGGAAAACAGAACAATATCCCTGTAGTCTGCCGGGTGCTTCACGTGCGTGTCCTCGGCGCGGTACTGCAGAACGCGCGAAGTCTTGTTGATGATCCAGTAGGGGCTGAAGACCGACAGGACCGTGCGGCTCCCGACGCGCCGCGCGTGGACGGAAACGTCCACGGTCATCGCCGTCGCAGACTGAGAGGTGAAGCACACGGGGAAAAACTCAGGCATGCCATCGTGAATCTTGAGATGCCCAGTCCAGTCTCTGCCTTGGTATTTTAACAGCACCAGCTCCATGATTTCCCCGTTGATCCTGGAGTGGAAGACGTCTGCAGCACTCCCCTCGCTTAACTCACGAGCTTCTGCCGTTCCCTGCAGCAAAAGCACAAGAGGCAAACCAAGCCTTTAATACCTAAAACTTAGGCATTCAAGATCAGCATCTGACTCTCTTGCAGGATGCATGTTCTGGGTGCCTCAGTACCACATGGACTACCTCCCATCATTTGAGAGTGAGAGTGACCCTAGGAAGAATCTGAGATCAGGTGCCCTTCCCTTGCAGGACAGTAAGGACTTCTTTATTCTGGATTTCTGGAAGGCAAATTAGTTCCAACATATCCTCTGTCTCTGCTCCATCCCTCCCTCCCTGCTGACTGCCAAAGGATTCTGGCAATGAGTTAATATTCCTATTCTCCCACCACTGGGTGTAAAGTTAACTGGACTGTGCTGCAGATGTACAGCCAGGACTCTTCACACACCCGAGGCAGGAAGCTGTTTGGTAGCACAACTTGCCTCAGACAGCAGCATTCCATGACAACACCTTTCCTAATTTTCACTGATAAACAGTGTATTTTACGGCATGGAATAGTGGCCAGGCTTGATTAGTCCAGGGATGTGAACACAATAAGCAAATACCCAAAGACTGACAAATTAACCCATAAAGTAACTCACCTCAAGCAAGTACCTCAAGGAGTATGGCAGAAGATTCCTCACGGTCAGTGTAGGGTAAAGGTGGATAATGTAGGCAGGATCCCACTCCTCTCCAGAAATAAAATTTAGCTCATCAGGTACAGCTGTTGAGCTGATTACCAGAGGCAAGAAGTTGGCCTCGGTGGCTGGGCACTGCAACAAGCAGTTGACTTCACTGCTCCTATGCAGCTCTTCCCTCCAGGCAATGTAAGTCATGGACTCTTTGAACTGACCCTCAAACAT